TGCAGTGAGCAGACTTTTGAAATGCGCCCTCCATGTCTTGTCCTCTTCTGATTTCTTCCCGATAGAACAGCATTAAAGCATCAGAACATTTACATGTTGATTATGCCTTGTCCATTTTCCTCTAGGCACAGAGCTGTGTTCTGACTGTGCTTTCTGTTATTCCATAGGACCACAAAAGAAATCCCTTTTATGCAAGAAACGTCAACAACACAAATTGCTTGAATTTGTCTCAACTTGTTTTAAAATAATAAAGTTCACAGCTTTGCCCTTCTTCTATACTTGTGTTTCCCTTTCCCTTTCTCTCCTTTCCCTTTCTCTTTGGCCTCTTCCTCTCTCCAGTGGATGTTTGGAATTCTCACCCTATTTTACATCTGCAGAGCTGTGTTTACTTCCTCCCCCCCACCCCCATTTCTATGACTTTTCAGTTGCTGTTGACTCTTGTTTCAAAGTCCTAGTATCATAGAACTAGAGTTGGGCCTTAGAGGATATCTAATCTAATTCTCCCTTCCATATTTTACAGATGAAAAAACTGAGGCCCAGAGAATTTAAGTGGCTTACCCAAGGTTACATATGCCACAAATTCTAACCCGTGTCCACTGACTCTAAAATCTAGCCTTCTTCCCCTGCACTAAAAAAGTTAGGAGACTGAGGAACAGTAGCAAGGTTTACTGACATGTCAAAACTAGTTACTGACTAGTAATGGCTCAGTGGCAGAGTTGGGATTATTCTTTTGAATCCCAATACTGTGACTACCCCTCCCACAACCCCACACAGGACCTTGTTACATTATCTGAGATAGGAATAAGAACAGCAGAGCTCTAAAATAAGAATTTGATTGATAGCATTGGTTAGGGGCCTATTTGCTCAGTAACAGTGACATAGTTGCCAGTGAGTTATAAAACTTCTCTTTGTGAAGGTTTTGCTATGGTGGTTTGTTCCAAACCTGTTGAAAATTTATAGCTGCTAACTTGTTCTAAGATGTCCATGAGGACTCTGCACTCTTGGAGTTAATGAGAGAGATGATAAATCAACTCAATAATATCTGTGTCATTAAGAGAACTCATGCCTGAAATATTAATTTAATTTCTTTTTCAGAATTAAAGGCTTTCCAATACGGTCTCTATAGATGAGCCATTAAGTAATTGAGGTTTAGTCTTGGCATCTTTTCCTAAATCGCTACAAGGAGATAAACTGTTGTGAGTGTGTGAACCATTTGAAAAATGAAAATCACTATTATGATTTCAAATGGGTCAGTTAAATATATTTTTATTTTGGAAATAAATTCTTTCAAGGTCCTTTTCAAGTCCCTCCATGCTTCTTTTCCTAACCATGCTAACCAGCATTTCAGTAGATCCAAACTCTTGTTCCGTATACTGTTGGTCACGTTGTATATATGTGGTGTAACTGTAGTACCTGTAGACTTTCAGAAGGTAAAAGAAGGCACGCCAGAGCTCTGCTATTCTTGTGTGTGTGTGTGTGTGTGTGTGTGTGTGTGTGTGTGTGCGCACGCGCATGGTAGGAACATGTACATATTTCTTTTTCTCATCTGCCATGCCTGCGTGTCTTCTCGCTAGCATCTGCTGGCCTTTGATGAGGGAACAAATGGCTAGGAACTCTGAGCAGGTACAAATGTCAAGTAGTGGAGTGTGGGACTTTGAGAGAGAAGACTTGAGTTGAAATCCCGGGTCTGCTGTGCGTGTGTGTGTGTGTGTGTGGATAAGTCACTGAAAATCCCAAGGTTTCCTCATTTGTAAAATAGGGATGATAATACAGTTCTGAGGTTTTTATAAGGCTCGAATGAAATCATGTATGTAATTCTAAGAGGCTTTAGAGGTGACCACCTCATGTGTTAGGTGTACTGTTTCTTGTTAATGTCCAAATCAAACCACCATGTCTCATCTTGTTACTTGATTTATTCCCTTTTAATTTTCATCTCATATTCTAAGGCAGTCAAGGGACTGCCCACTCATAAAATTTTCTCATTAAATAATTTTCTCATAAAATAATAACAATGCAGAATCTCTTCTATTAATTAGTAATATCAGATTCTATAAAATGGAGAAACATGTATTCTCATAAGCTTTCTCTTCTTTTTCTGAAACTCCTTAGTCTCCGAGGCTTAAATAAACAACAGTGTTAACTAGCTATATAATTTATTCATATTGTTACAAATAATACAAATATATACTTTAATCAATTCATCGAAGTAGTACAGTGAGAAAGATCACAGCCAAAGTCACCTCTAACCATCAGGTACAACTATTAACTTCTCTTCAACTCTGGAAATAAGAGTCCTACCGTTCAGCTCTTTCTGGGTGTCATTCAGTCTCTCAAGGATTCTCTAAGCTACATTCTCCACCATAATTGTTAAACTCAGCTCTCTTGGGAAATATCTCTTTAGAGTCTTTGTCAAAGATGACACTTTAACTCTCTCAGTCTTTCAAGGAAAGAGATTGTCTTAACAGTTTTCTCTTATTATAATCTCTTTCCAATCGTGGCAGCAGTCAGTCCTAAGAAGACAGTTAAGCTGCCCTTTCCCCCTTTTTGAAGATAAAGTAATAGTTTTCGTGTCCTCTATGGGAAGGGCTGTTGAAGCTGATGTTGCATAATATAACTATAAAGCACTTGGTAAACATAAAAACAGACTTTGTTTAGAAAATAATTATTTTTGAGAATGAACCATTTGAAAGATTTAGTGTCAAACTTATAACCATGAAATTTGTAAGTATTTGTAATTAAAATGTACTTTCAAAAGCAAGGATGAATTTTTGGAGATGAGGTTACTTCCAAGGGAGACATATAGAACCCCTCTAATTTCTAATCCCTCTCATCTTTTCCCCTTTTCCCCTTGTTTGCTTCTCCCCATCTCCTTCTTTCTCCTCAAAGTAAGGTTTTTAGACCTGATTTGCATTTTTGAAAAATGTGTCACACTGAGGTCAAATTAGAAATGTTTTGAGTCTAGGCAACATTAAACAATTTGAAGGAAATGTTTTACTTTTAATGCATGCATTCAGGGACTGTACTGGATTGCCTTTTAAAAACTTTAGGCAGTCTTTGAAAGCAGTTTTTATCAATAGCTTCATTGCAGTAGCATGTAGCCATCTGTAACTAAGCCCCTGATTTCTTTGAAATTAGGAGCTCAGTTACAATGAGCTTATAAAATGACATGAAAAACATGAAGGCCTGGGATTTCTGAGATAAGATGAACTGAAATAAAGAGAGAAGCTGTGGTGGTGTGTTTTCACTGCCAGACATCTCAAATGTGAAACCAAAACCCTGTGCATTTTGATCTCATCTGTGGACCACTAATTTGTTATGATTTGATGTTTCTCTACCTCCCTTATGTAAAGGGAGAAGAGCCCAACTTCTATGATAAGTGATATACACTAAAATAGAAGTGTCATGTAGACAAAGACTATCTTGTATTCTTTGCATCTCTCTTCAATGCCTAGTGAAATACTTTACACATGCTTCTTATAAATATTTGGCCAATTGAATAATGCAAATGCATATCCATATATCCAGAAGATTAGTATCATTAATGCTACTCATCACTGTATTATGGCACCAGATCACGAAGTGATTCTTTCTTGTAGAACTTCTTTATTTTCAATCCCATTAGAACATGAGACCCTTGAGGGCAAAGGTTCTTTTTGCCTTTCTTTACATGGCCAGAGGTTAGCAATGTGGGCCATGGTAATCTCTTAAATACTTGTTGACTGACCCAATCATTATCACGTTTTTCTATAAGCTTGAACCATTATTCATCAGCATTTAGAATTTGATGATTGTTCAAAGGTGGTAAACATGCTAACTCTTCAGTTTTCGACCTTATGGCCAGACTTGTTTGTTGAAAGGGAAGCCAGAAATGAATATAATTAAAGCCAAAGACAATGAGATCCTAAATAGTCATTAGTGCAAATACAATCTCAATTGGTAGTGTTGACCTGTTTGTCAAGAGGTTATGTGGA